AGCTTATCCAAAGTTAAAGCTATGTTTCCTTCTCTCATGCATTTGTTCCTTGATTTATTAACTATCCAAATGGAGTCCAACATCTAATACATAATGCGCATTGTGGGGACAGGGGGAGGCGGGAGGAACTGGAGAGGTTGCGTCATGGAAAGACCTTGGCACCCCCTCAGGAAGGAAGGACCTGCTTTGGCGGGGTCCCAGACTGTTTTCCTGGTTCAGCCCTACTAAAGACATTCTGTTCCCTGTAACGCAGGAGGGCTGCTTTCTCTCAGCTTCTTTGTGAGGTACCTGTTCTGTATTCTGCTGAAGCAATCAGGTTACCACTGACAATTGCTGACTGTTTTCTCTGATGACTCCTCAATCCAGATGTATGAATTTAAAGCATCAAAATTCTTTATCCAGTAATCCATTCTCTTTTGGACTTTATACTGCAGTTACTTATTCTCACAATTGATTTTTAAAAAATTATTTTATATTGGTTTGCTTATAAAATTCATATTCATTGTGTGTCACACAGTAGCCTTCATTCACATTGTGTTTCATACAATCATTCCCATTCATTATGTTTTATAAAATGAATCACCGTTGAACTATGCCCACCAGTACCCTATCTTTCCAGATCCCCGCTGGATCTTTCTCATTTCCTTTACTCCCCCTTCCTCCACCCACCAAATTATGCAACTCTCTGATTTTCCCCTGCCATCCTCACCCCACTACATCTCCGCCTCGCCCCCTTGGATCCTCATACATGTTTATACATGCTTTACTAGTTATCTTTCTATTTCTACAATAATGGGTTTATGCAGTATTTGTCCTTAGGAGACTAAGTTCACTCAGCATAATGCCTCCAGCCTTTCCCCAGGGTATGTAGTAATTTTCAAAATTGTTGCTCTGAGTGTTGAGTAGTATTCCTTCGTGTGAATGCACCACAGTTTCTCAATCTATTTGACTGTGGTTGGACACTTGGACTGTTTCCATGGTCTTGTGTCACAATTGATGTTCTTTTTCTGAGTCAATTGGTGTTGAATAAAAGCATATTTAGAATCTTTTGGGAGGTTCAGGGTACAGGAATTGTATTTGGCATGCAGAGTCATCTGTTTCTTTGTTAGAATTTAATGCAGTTGGATTGGCTCCTTCTTATATTAGCTGTGACTCAAATGTTTTCCCCAAAGAGAGCATTTCCTGTGTTACTGTCTTGTTACGTTGTTTGTTTTCCTTGCACTCTTGCTTCTCTGAGATCAATATGTAAATTGATTTGCTTCCATAATGCCTTCTGTTAAACTCTAAACACCTTGTGAGCAGAGACACTACCTCTTTATTCAGTTCTAGTTCCTGTACCTTGAACAGTATTTGGTATATGATAGACACTAAATAGGAAGCTCTGGTGGCCTAGGGGTAAGAAACTGCATCGCGGTCCCAAAGGTGTGAGATTTGAAGCCAACAGCTGCTCTGTGGGAGAAGGATGGGCAGTTTCCTCCTAGGTAATTTACTGTCTCTGAAAACCCAGTGGGTCAGCTCTGGGTTGGTTCCATCTCAGTGGCACACAGCAATAGGTACTAAATATTTGTTGAATCCATTTATTTTTAAAAAAGTAATGTTCAGGGCAAATAAAAGGATAAACACTTTTAGGACTATTCTCGAATGTTTTGTTCATCTTACAGAAATAAAATAATGGAGTGGTTATAATAGTATTCTTCCTCCTTTAAAGCAGTCAATTACAAATCAATATGTATTTGAAAGATTAGGCAGGGTTTGACAGCTTTTGAGTATGGTAATGAATTGAAAACTGTGTGTAGAAAATTTCTTGGTTTTGTTTCATTTTCATAAGGCTCCATTTTTAACATGAGTACTGTGCCAAAAGAATGAACACCTATGTCTTGGAAAATGTGCTGTCAGAATGCTTATTGGAG